AGACGGGATGACCCAACACCTCCACACTTGTTGATGTAGTGCATCTGCACCATAGGGTCCCAGAGAACAGATAGGAATGCCATGCAGGCTGACGGGATGTCCCTGAACTCCAGGACATTCAGATCATCCTGGGACCTGGTCAAGAAAAGAACACGCTTTCATACATTCTCTAGGTTCAGCCATTAAATGGGCTCTTGTAGAACCTGGGTGGGAACGTGACTCTCTTGTTCATGTGATGCTTGGATGGAGATCACAATTGTAAGAGCCACAGATGAAATCTTGCAAGCAGCATTCAGTATATGCACAATGACAGGTGACCCAACAGCCCCAGACGTGTACACACCATTGCTGCCAGGTTCGACTGGAAGTCCCTTGTCATTGACTGAACAGACAGGCATTTGTCCCCCTAGCAGGTGAGCTCTCACCAACCGAGAGTTGATCATGGCTCCTATGAACTCTATTGTCTGCGATGCTGTTACAGACTCTTTTTCATAGTTCACAAGGAGTCCTAATTGGAGAACAGGTAGAGGATTCCAGGGCTGCTGCAGTTTCTTGCTTGGACCTTGCTCCTGATCAGCCTGTCATCTAGGCACGGATAGATGTGGAGTCCCTTCCTCCTTCGGTGTGCTGCCCCAACCCCCAGACATTTGTGAATATTCTTGGTGTTGTGGAGAGAACGAAGGGCAGTACTCTGTATTGTTAATTGTTGGGCCCCACTGTGAATCTAAGGTTCTTCCTGCAAGTCAAGAGCTATAAGCCAATTTTCAGTTTGGAGAGATGGAATGATGCAGGCAAGAGTTATTCTGAATCTGAGGCCAGAACCTGTATTTGTTGAGTCTTCTCAGGTCTAGGATAGGATGAAAACCCCTTTCTTCTTTGCAATAAGGGAACAAAAGCTGTGCTATCAAGATCTAAATATTACATTAAACAGGAGGAATTTCAGCACAGACATTAGAGACTTTAAACTGTAATATTTGCCTACTGCCTGTTTATTCAGTTGCAGCAGCAGCAGCACCAGGGGAATGCAGGACAGAAGTAAAGTGCATGCACAGCACTTTTAACAACCCCTCATTAAGGATAACGCAGTTAGACGTGTCCCGGTGTTGCTTGCATTCAGTGTGTGCATGACTGATTTCAGAAAAGTTTCACCACCCCATCTAGTGTGGATGTTGCTGAAGAAGACCATTTAAAAATTTTTCAAAGGTGAAATTTTAATTCATCACAATCCAATCAGTTATGGCAAGGGGCTTGAGAGACATTTTTATAGAATAATTTCCTGCCATTAGGAGTTAAAATAAATAAATAAATAAAAAGGTGAAAAGTAGGGAAACTGTCTCCATAAAAATGCCCCATGTCTTTGTGACACAGGGCCAGAAAGGGTTACACAACTAGCAGGATAATTGACTCAGATTCAACCTGTAGAGACAGACTAATAGATAATGATTTGTGTTTTTTGTGTGTTTACATATATATTGTTAGAGGTTGACAATGTAACCAAACGGTTCCTATCGCTGTATTCTGTTAATTCAAAGATCAAAAGGAGATATTAACATTTAAATGAACTGAATGTAGTAATATCACTGTCTTCATTTCTCTTTGAAGTATGTAGTAAACTACCTGTAAATGGCAAGATATGAGCAGTTGCCTTATTGTTAATCCCTGTAGCTAGTTACCAACGATGCTTAGGAAATAGGAGGTTACTTCAAAGTCACTATTCTTCACCTAAGGAATGCCTGCTGTCAAGAGGCTATCGGATAGCTTGCTTGAGAACTATAAAAATAACTCTTGGGCCCTGATCCTGTTATCTCAGATCTGCTTAAGCTTCATCAGGGGAAGTTTGAGTTGCAAGACGAAGGTCCCCAGCTCCAGTCTGGGTCACCCTAATATTGGACATTGGGCTGTGACCTATGGAACTAATTCTGAAAGAACTTTTGCAACTCTAAAGTTCATCTCTACTATGAAACTGATCTAAGAATTTTAGTCAAGTCTGTATGTATAATGATCTTTTAACCTATGCTCTCTCTCTCCTTTTTTAATAAATCTTATTTTAGTTCATATGAATTGGCTGTAAAGCGTGTATTTGGGTAAGATCTGCAATATTCATTAACCTGGTGGGTAATGTGTCTGATCCTTTGGGATTGGTAGAATTTTTTATATGATGAACAAGATTTTCAGTAATCCTCATCATATTTGACTTGGCTGTCTGGGTGAGAGCTCAAGGCTGGGTTGCTTTAAGGGAACTGTGTTTCTGGTTTCTGGGTACCCAGTAAGGTATTTTAGAAGTTATTTTGTTGCTGGCTTGATGAATCTAAGTATTAGAATAACCACCAGTTTGGGAGATTGTCTGCTCAATTAGGGCAAACTGCAAAGAATGGGACAATCTCAGTGTGCCCCACCTTGGGATTCTGGTCAGTGTATAATTATAACACAAATTAGGCCATTAGGTATGTGATGAACACTAGCTTGGTTTGCCAAATCAGTGCCATCCTGGATAATTCTAATTAAAATCTAACAGGAATATTGTGAACAGTTATCGTTAATGTATCTGAAAGGGAGGTGAGAATGACATTTATAGCCACGATTATCTACTTTGGATTATATTCTTTCCTCAAAAACTTCTTGATATGGAGTACATGATTAGCGTGTGGTGTCAAGGCTGGTTGGCATGATTGTTAATATTTCTACACAAGTGGATCCAGAGTGATTTCTTCTTCGGAACATAGGGCATCATGAAAACATCTATACGCGACTCTGAAGTTTCAGAAGTTAACTACGGAAGATCTACAAACTGCAGAGGAACTATCATGTATCTGTTTAATCACAGATATCTATCCCTGTCACAAGAGTAGACGCTGGCAAGGAGACGTTAGCAGCTGTAGCTTTGGTTTATAACTAATAGCAATGAATAATAAATGGTTTGACCATTATAGAAGCACTTTTCCTTAGGGATATTTGCTCTGTTCCAATCTGTCAGAACTGCTGCACATCTGTTATGCAAAAGTATACAAAGTTTTGTGTCAAAGCACTGCCTAGATTCATGGGTGAATGCTGCCTTTGCTTTTATATGGGTACAGTGCATCTCTATGGGGACATGAAAAAGTAAAGTAAGTTTCTCAGTAGATCTGTGAGAACATTTTTTGATGTCATTTTCCTGGTCCCATAAAGAAAGAAGCTTTTGTTAATGTCAAAAAAGAACGGATATGAAAAACCTGTGATCAGACAGTAAAAACAGAATTGTTATCCACACCTAGGCAACAGACAGGAACAAGTGGTGCAGAAAAAAATAAATCTTTTCAAATATATAGCCACTGACGTTATTTTACAAATCCCAGAAACTGCTACAAAGCAGGTGAGAGACTGCAGGGATTGCAGCCATCCTAAAGTAAAACAAAAGCAGCTCCGTCACAACAGGGCTCATCCTATTAGCCTGTACAACCCTGTTGTTATTAATTTCTGCTTCTCATAATCATCAGGAAGAGCAAAGAGGCTGTGGAGAGGCAGCTCTGAACTTTCTGTAGCACAGGGTGTTCATCTGGAATGCTGTTAGGTAACACAGGGATTCTGTTTCAATTCCACAATTTAAAATGAATTAACTATTTGGTGTAAAGGTTGAATTTCGTTGCTCTTACGGTAATTATTCCAAGTAGGAGATAGCTGAGTAGGAGAGAGTATTCATTAAATGAGCCTGAATGTCTGAAATCAGAATTGAGCCACTTGTGTTAAGATGATGGATACTGCATGACTCGTCACTATGTTTAGCCACCTGTCATGTATCGGCTATACAGAGTTAAAGATCTCTTCTTAGTTTAAAAAAAAATTCCCTTCTAGATAGTGGTGCCAATTAAACTTTTGGCTACATTTGTAGAGAGAAATTACATCTTCCACTTCATACCCCATCATTTGGCCACCCAATTTGCAATGTTTAAAAGGGAGGATTATGCAGCAGTGTTTGTAAGAGTAAGAGTTACAAATACAGAAGAATCTGTCACACTAAGAAGACACTGCTCTTCTAGCTAAAAAATACTTCACGATGCTAGGATTTGCTTTTTAGGAATGACTATTTGAAACTATCAAAGGGGTAGCCGTGTTAGTCTGGATCTGTAAAAGCAGCAAAGAGTCCTGTGGCACCTTATAGACTAACAGACATATTGGAGCATGAGCTTTCGTGGGTGAATACATCCGACGAAGTGGGTATTCACCCACGAAAGCTCATGCTCCAATACGTCTGTTAGTCTATAAGGTGCCACAGGACTCTGCTATTTGAAACTATTTTACCTGAAATATCTAAGGGTCTAAATGTCTGTTGTTCTTATTTTCCTGAGACAAAATCTTTAATACAAGCAATCTTGAGCAATGCTGTCATGTTTCTTCTTGATGGATTGCATTCTTTGGACTAAATTTCAAAAGGGGTCTCAACACAGCTACTAGAATTGTAGATGCAATTTAGCTCACCCAGTTATTTGTATGTGCAAATCCCCAGAGTTCTGCAAGCAATCTGCATTTGCATGCAACTTGGGCAGACCCATAACTATTCAACTGGTGATTGCAAAAAAAAAGTGCCTGCAACTGTTGATGGTAGTTTCTGACTATTTGATTACGCAGATACAAATTAAACATGATGGAGAAATAAATACTAACAAGAATAAGAAAAACATCCCACAGAACTAATAAAATCAATCTAAAACATACATCAATCTCATTTTTTTGTGCTGTGGGTGGATATATATATATTTCTAACTGGGGCAAGTTTAAAAAAGCAGTTTCTAAAATTGCAATTGTCCACGCTTTTGTGTATTTCGCAGTCATGTTCCTTTGCATGCAACATCTTAAAACACACAAAACTGCACCCACAATTTTAGGGGCTGAGTCAAAACCCACTTGAAAATTTGGTCTGACATGTCACATTGATCAAATGCAGGTAAGAAACAATGTCACCTGTGTTGATTTAAAGAGAAACAAACAAATGGCAGAGGGGCCATTGGCACGGAATGGACACATACCGAGCTCCCCTGCAGCTTTGATATCGATGTTGTCATAGCCACTGCCTATTCGAACGATGACCCTTAAGGCCTTGAACTTCTCTAGATCTTCTCGGGTGAGGGTGATAGTGTGGTACATCATTGCCCCAACGGCTTCATTTAATACCTGAAACAGAACAAAAAGACGTCCGAAAATCCTAGTCATTTAGGTGGGGAAGAACTGGGTACAAGTGTGACAGTAGTGTACAATGGAAACAATGGGCCTGACCCTCCTGAGCTTGTGGTGCTGTACACCCTTGACTGTGGCAGGAGTTAACAGGAGTTGAGGGCACACTCTAAGGTAAGGTCCAGTATTTGTGAGATGCTTCATCCTTAGAGGAGACACTGCACTAGAGCTCTATAGGCAATTAATGCCACATTGACTTCGAGGAGATCTTATACACTGGAACAAGCTTAGGGAAAAGTCCAGTTATACAATAAGAAATGTAACTGGTGAGCATTTCTATGTGCTTCCCTTGGTATTATACAAGTATTTATTACACTAGAGGGTCGCACACTGTTACTTCTGTAGGCTGAGCTCACTGCACACATCAGAAGGTCTTTGCATTCCTTCTTTCTCCCCCACAAGCTCCCTGTGTGCCACCCTCCGTACCCCTCTATTTCAGGGGCTCCCTGCAATTCCCCCACCCCTCAGTCAGAGCTCTGTGAGTCCCCAATTCTCCCATTCTGGGGTCCCCCAATTCTCCCATACTGAGATCACCCATTTCCTCCCATGCCAGAGGCTGGGTGTGTGTCCTCCTTCCCCCCTCGTCATTATTTTTTTTCTTTCTGTCTAGGGAGGTAAATCATTCCAGCTGTCAACATTTTAAACTCTATTGGGAGGATGGGCCAAGCTGAGATGGGGGATGCTGTTAGGTTGCAAGGTGTTAATGGCTGCCAATAACCAGTTCTTTGATACGGAGACAATTATAGACTTGGTTGAAGCTGATGTGTATGCTAACCAGATTCCAGGAGCTCCATGGGTCCCCCATTTCCCTCTTCCAGTTGACTGATTTTCTCCAAAATCAACAGAGTTCTGCCCACTGACACCTAGAATTTTCCCTGAAATTTTGGAATTGATTGGGTGCAACATTCAAAAGTTTACATCCAAACAGACAGACCGATGCCACGGAGTTGAGCGCAGGACCCCACACTGAATGTGAGAGTTGTCTGAAAAACTTCGAAATTAGAAATGTTGAGGGCATTTTTTTAATTAAAATTTTGATGCAAAAAAGCCAAACAAAAAACAAAACAAAACCCTCCTGAAATATCCATGAAAATTACATCCTGATTTCCAGCCAGTTCTACTGAGTAGTAAGCCACAGATATTTTTAGAAGTATGGTCAGTTCATCACACTAAAATGCAGCACCCAAACAGGAAAATAAATACGCTGTTAAAGAGGACAAGCATCTTTTTCCCCTTCAAAAGCATCTCAATGAAGTTACAGAAGTTAAATTTACCTTCTCGTGAATCTCCTGAGTTGATTGTGCATCACAGAATGCAACAGTAGCCAAGTCTTTCAAAATTGGCATCTCCACTGTACAGTCTCTTCCATCTAACAAAGCCACCAAAGGACGAGGATGCATAGGGCCATTCATTATTTGTGGGCGAATACCTGCAATCAAAAGGAGTTTTACTGTTAGATCAGCAGGACAAACACTTCTCAGTCTATAGTTGCTCCTGTTTGGGTATTATTTGAACTTGGTTTCAGTGTCAAGTGGGAAGTGGCTGCATACAACACAAGTTTATTGTATTTGAAGCTTTAGGAAGTAGTTTGGCTGGACGAGCAGGATGCTGGGAGACTCAGCATAGGTATCAGTTGATTATTGATACATTCTCTATTAGGGAAATACATCGGTGCCCCACCCTGATCTACCATGCATTTTCCAACTCCAACTACTATTACTATATGGCTCCTGACTTTGATCTCACACTTTTTTTTTTTTTTTTTTTTTACTGGTGCCACTCCATTAACTCCAGTGCAGTTACTCCTGATCAACACAGGTGTAAGTGAAAGTAGAATATGGCCCTAGAATTAGGTTTTGCTAGGGTATCCTTATATTTCAATATATGTCAACAAATAAGACAGACTCCCCACTTTTGTTTTCTTGAGTGTGTGTGCAAACTAATTTGTTCAACACTGAAATCCCAGCCCCACTGAAGCCCTGACTTCAATGGGGTCAGAATTTCACTCTATATGTTTGTATAGGCCTTTAAAATTGTGGTTTTTGAGGAAAGACTCTAGCATTCCTACTACCTCAGAAAATAGACTCTGGGCAACAATCATTCCATAAACAAACAGGTGTTTACCCCAAAAGGAAAAGGAAGGGAAGAGCCAACCAAGAAACATAGATCAAACAGTTCTTTAATAGAAATAGAATAGGAATCTCTTTTGTTGTACAAATGTGTATCATTAGGGTTGAGTGGGGGACATGCCCTACACACACATCTTAGTTCATGAAATCAGTAGCAATATTATAAGTCAGAGTAACTGTTTCTCTTCTGTCTCTGCACCACACATTGCAAACTGGCGTTTGGAGCAGGTGAGAGGAATCTGTGTGCACATATGGGGACTATACCTTAAACTCCCCTACCCCAGCTGCTGTGGGAAATCTTCAGGATTCCTTCTTGAGCATGTGCAACCAGAGCTGGGAGTGACAGCAGCCAGGAAACAGCTCAGAGGGTTTTTGTTATTCTTACATGGATCCACTTACAAGAATTTTTCCCACACGTTTATTTTGCACTCAAGATGTAATTGTGTGTCTGTTAAACTGAGCTGCCTTTTCTACAACTACATGTTCTCAGCCTCTTCTCTTTTTAAGCTAAGGTTAACCAACAAGCAATTGTGCCAAATGGGGACCCAGGAACCAGGACTCCTGTGTGCTATGCCTAGCTCTGCCAATGACTCACTGTTTCATTTTTGGATAAGTCCCTTAAAAGATACTAAGCCTCAGTTTATCAGTATGTAGAATAGTGATATAATTAGGGTTCTGTGACAGTGTTTAATTTGTTGTTGTTTTTTTCACAAAATGTTGCAAAAATATTTTCACAGTATAATTCCAGGCAATTTCACAGTCCAGTAAAGCCCATCTCCTTCAAACATGTGTGCCTTTACGCATAAGAGTAGTCTCAGTATGCATGTGCTTAAGTGCCCTAAATTAATTTTGTGTGATAGCTTTGTAAAATGGAGGACTGGCACCAAAACATGCAAGCTTTCATGGCTTTTATGCAAGAGAAACCCTCCCTCTCCCCACGTACACTGCAATGAAATTTCAAACACGGAGGTTTTTACTTGGAAATTTTGAATTTTGTTAAAAAGAATCATTCAGAAATGGTCCCATTTCCAATGGTATACAATGCTAAGCCCTCAAACATTGAGATTTTCCAAATTTCATTGTGAATATTTCATAGAGGCCTGGCTATCCTATTTACCTATGTCACAGGGGTCTGAGGTTTAACACTTGTAAAGTGCTTGGAAGTCAGTGGATGAAATAGTAATTTTTTTTTAAATGAATCAGTATCTGGGGAGCATAGTACTTTGGATCTCTGACCCATGCATTAAGTGTTCTGGGTTCAAATTTTCAAAGATGGCAGCTAATTCTGGGTATTTAACTTAAGCAACCTTAGGCCTGATTTTCAGAAGTTGTAAATACCCATCGCTCCTGTTAACCTTGATTTGAGTTGTGGATGTTCAGCCCTTCTGAAAATGCGGGCCCAATGTGTTCTAATTTTGACCCTCAAAAATATAAGAGGCCATTTTTTAAAATGTTGGCCATAAGAGATGCCTGTCTGATAGAGGAACCAGGCAGAATCTTTTTTGATTTTCTTTTTCGGTCTAGGTTAAGAACACATCTGTTCTACCTAGTTACTCTACTATATTATTCAGGTGGTGATGGAAATAATGACGGTCTTCAGTACATCTAGATCTGATAGTCATCTCCCTGCTACATTAAGTTCCAAACATATCAATTTACTAGTTATTACAGTAATCGTTCATGATGATTATTTGGACAAGCGCTGGGTTATTTTATCGTGGAGAAGTCAATGGAGTTATTTTAACTGTGAAAAATCAAATTACATTTCCCATTCCTTTCTAAAGTGGAGACCTGTGACTAGTTAAGGAGGGTCACAGGGGAAGTCATAAATACCTAAACAAAGAGCATTACAGAACAAATGCCATAGTCTGTGACTCTACAGCTATTCAAAAAGCAGATAAAAAAAGAACCCAGAAAAGGGGGGATCGTTTACTGAATGGAACTAAGATCTCTCACTTGCAGCACTGGCTTCCTGGATAATGGTCAACATGGCAATATCCTGCTGTGGAAAAGGCCAAAAGTGGTGTCAGTGTAACCCTTATGCCAAAAAATGACAACGAGGGAAGGAAACTAATGAGAACACCACCACGCTGATTGAAAAAAAAAATGAAAAAAATTAAACATGCATTGTTATCCAGATTTCAGTCAGGTGAACAACATTAGCAAGATCTACATCAAATAATATGTGAAAGACAGACTGAAACACAATGAGCCAAAATCATGCTTTGCAGAACTCCACTGAAGCCAACTCACTTACCCCAGGGAGGAATCTGCTCTGGTATGTATTGAATACTGATTAAAAACTTGTTATACTTGTTTGGGGGAAAAGGGGGGGAGAAATAAACCCTGGGCATAGGCAAATTTAGCAGAAATATGTTTAATGGTTCTCAGATATTGTTTTATTGACTGGGATTTAAAAAAATAAAACCCAAAACAAACAGAAGTTCTGATGAAATATTTTCAAAATGTAACATGAACGTTTTTCTAAACAGGTTGCCTTTTTTCTATTGAGATTTCCTTTTGCACTTACTGGAAGTAATACATCATGCTTGCAGTATTTTATCCAGATGGAAGTGCAACTGTGTCAGTTTGGATGGTACAGAGCTGAGATGATTTGGATAAGTGAAAGAAGCTTGCCATAAGCAGATAAGAATAAAACATGTATCAATCTCAAATGCTTACCATCCATAAGTGAAGCATTATTCTTCAGCGAGGTTCATCACTTTTCCTATTTAATAAGCAACTTAATCACAACACTGATTAACTATTACTAAGGTGTAACCAAGCCTAGACCATCACATAATGACAGCCTCATATTGTTATGGCAAAGAAAGGATATGCTCACAGGCAAATGGCACAGTATAAATAGTTACATCACCACCTGGACAATGGCTTTAGTAGTCACTGAGATTTACATCATGTGCTGGCCAATGTGTTTCTCAGCCAAACATAATCAGAGCTTGCTGCCTATGCAGGGTAAGAACTCTTTACAAACAGTGATGTAGACAAGACGAGGTTGGGTAATTATTTTCTCAAATAATGTAACAAGTAAAACAAAACCAATGGCTATCTGAAACTTGGACACTTAAACTGAAACGCTTCCCAACCAACTGTTTTATCATCCTATCATTACATAAGTGACTTTGTAGGTCACAAGAATTATTATTTTTTGGAAACATGACATCTGTGTCTTTGCTTGGGATTACGGATGTAATTGTGTGTGATGACATAGGCTCCTTAGACATGTCAAGCTAGTCTACAGACAAAAATACACTTGCCCAGGATGAATGTGAGCTGGAAATTGTGCTAAATATTTAGAAGAATGGCTCTCATTTTCTCTTACTACAATGAAGTAATTGACTTTAATTTGACAGGGAAAGAAAGTTTTGAAGCAGATCAATATGAGATGAAGTGCATAATGTACAGTAATTACATTTTAATAAAAACCATTGACAGGTTTGCAAGTTAAATCATACAGTGCAATATATTTTCCTTGGCTGGTTCATTTTTTGTATCTATCTAGTTGTAGTTCTATGACTCTGTATATAAACTTTACAGATCTATTATGCATATATTTTATACACAAACTCAAACCAAACTGCTGGGACACAGGAAAATCAAATTTATGGACTCAAACGTCATAATTTTTCTCCTTCTTTTAACTTATGCAACACATTTGACACATATGACTGTTTCATTAAGAATTGATAAGCAAAAAAAAAAAAAATCAGAAAGTAATTAAAAAATTCCCCCACTCAAAATTCCCATTCAAGGTTTAAATCATGGGCCTTAAACCTTTAATTCTGCAGCACATTTCTCTATCACGTAAGTGTTGGGAACACGGGGCATGGAAACGCAGCATATAAAATAATATAAAGCACAGAGCTAATCTATGAAGAGTTATTAAGCACATAAACAAGGAGTTATCCCCACTGTAAAAAATGCACACTTCTGTCTCAATTCATGGGCACGTAGCTACAAATAAGAGGGAGCCACAAACAGAGATGGAGAACATGCAATGTCTCTTTTTCTAGTGAGATTAGCGCTCTTTATCATCAAGGAAATATATTATAAAAATATACCGGGATGTATAACATTAAAAAGCTTTCCACTCCTTTGAAGTTTTCTGATTTGAAGATAAATCATAATAAAGCTTGCAAAGTTGACCCAAGCACTGTTCATTATATATATTTTGGGGCATTCCCTGCTATCTCTGGACTTCTTCCAGCATTTCAGTGGACAGCTTTTTAAGGAAGGGAGGAGAAAGAAAAAAACCCTTTCCCTGTAACACTGAGAACTC